TATATATATATATATATATATATATATATATATATAATGTGTGTGTGTGTGTGTGTAATGCGTTGTTTGCGTTAATTTATGAGAATAGCTACATCCACAATATATATTAACGATATTAAAGCGTCTTGCTTGTTATAGAATAGCGCTTGAGACTACGAAACTGCTTCTCACACATTTTCACTATGCGCGATTAAATTCCATGAGATCTTCGCACTTGGCGTATTAACATATCTATTATTTAAATAAAAAGGATACAATTATAATACAAGGATATAATTATGTTTCTCGAATGATTACTGCGGACTGTACCGAGTCACATCAAATCTCAATTCTGATCTGGTAACTTATGAAAATTGTAATTACTTTCAGATTTATAGATATTAAAACAAACTTTAAATATATTACTCGAATTTTATCTTTGTGTCAAATGTACGTTAATAAGTACGTTTTAAAAAAGTTTGCTATATTATATGGAAAAAGTATAAAAATACTAATGAGCAGGATTATGTGACTCATTATCAGTGAGGAATTAAAAATTCCACGTGGACACGCGAGGTCTCGCGAGCCACATGTGAGCAACGTTAAGCATACGCTAAACTCACGCCGATAAGTCGCGCTCGTTCGTACGTAGAACTCCGACGCGCGATTACGCGACGGCAAATTTAATTAGATACGCGGGCGCATAAGTTAAAGCAGTTTAACGTTTCATTTAACCTTTAGCGGGACGTCTTGGTGAAAGGCGGCTCGGCTCGGCCCTTGAGGAAATCTCTCTTTCTTATGACTGCACACGACGTTGTCGTCTCGCAAGGGCGCAACGGCGCAGGGGCAAAACTTAACACGGCGAATCGTTAAATTATATTTTGCAGTCCTCCGCTCGTAAAAGCCGCGAACGAGGCGGCGGACGTGGATGAGGTAAAAGCGGGGAGCGTTAGCGCTTCGTCAACACTCGTAAAATTCCCCGCGTTAAAGCCCCGAAGCTTGATGAGCGAGCGCCAAACTTCGGAACAAGCGGCGTAATATAGTAGCGCGACTTAACGGTGCTCTTAACGGAAGGCACCGCGTCGCGACGGGATAATCGTGAATGTCAGATTGTCCTGGAAATTAAAAAAGGGTAGGAAAAGTATAGGAAGGAAGGAGAAGGAAAAGATTAGACTTTTCCACGCTCTTGAGAACGCGCCCGCGATGAAATTCCAAATCGCGATAATAAATCGAAACAAGTGCTAGAGAGAGAGAGAGAGAGAGAGAGAGAGAGAGAGAGAAAGAAAAATATATATAGAGATAATAATACGTAACGAAAGGAAAGAAGGACGGGAAAGGGTA